AATTGGTTAGCATATGCCGACACGATACTATTAAAGAACCTACTAATTGGTTGACAGACCTTAAAATAGCAGTCACGCGCGTTTTTTGTTTTGCTGCACAAAATACGCTGACAAAAAAAAATTCCGGAATTACGTTAATGTGCATCAAAAGAAGAGCCTTTGTTTTGCCATGCTTTGATTAAAAATATAATAAATGATTAATAATGCATGTTTAAAAATACATATAGAATAATTAAACATATCAAACACGAGGATCAAACTATAGTGATCTTAATTGAGTTTTATAGTCTCTTGGAAAATGGTATCATTGGTCTATTCGAATTGACAGATGCCTGACAATTATGACAGCATTTATACTGAAGTACTATAAACCAGTGCTTCCGATCATTAGAAACTCCGGGTGAATCGATCTGATAGGACCGACCGCTACCATGTGTAAAAGTTATTTACGAACGAAACAATTAATATTCCTGAAACATCGGATCATCCGCGAAAATTTGTGCATCCACATGTTTTTTTTGGAACAAATAAGTTTCAAGCACCTTGTCATTTCATATAAAAAGTGGGTTCGAAATGATAAAAAAATGGGTAAAGTTTTAAATGGCATTTCAAGTTGTTGAAACTTCATTTTTAAGCAGATTCGGTTCGTGTGTTGAATGTCTGGAGCCATGTAGCGGATATCAATGGTGCTCCACTTGTGAGATTTCAGCTCTCAAACGAAAATTTCTTGAATGGACTAGCGGTAATACAAAAGTTGATCGTATGATACAACAAACGCAATTATTTTCAAATGATGGAGTAGGTTACCTTGAATTCATTCCATTCGAAAATTTTGAACAAGTGAAATATATTGAAAGAGGCGCGTTTAGCACCATTTACTCCGCAGTTTGGATAAATGGTCCTCGACATCTTTTAGACAGCGAATGCCCTGATTGGATACGTAGCGGTCCAACCAAATGTGCCTTAAAGAGGATTGACAATTCTTGTAACATAAGTCAAGAATATTTGGATAAAGTAAGTTTCTTTATCACTATAAGCATTTTGTACAAGTGACTCGTTCAACTGTATGGACTGGTCAGGCTGTCAATCTTTACGATATATGTAAAATTAAACCATCTCTGACACATGGTAGTACCAGATTTTATTTAGTTGCAGATCACTTTATTTCCCTAGTGGTAGAATCTGACGCGTGGGCTGCAGATCGCAAATCATGTTTATTTTTCCTAGTGGTTAGCTAAAAATAGGGCCGTGCTGATTATTTAACTTGGCGTTAAAACCGATTTAATCAGCTGGTCCAGACCTTAATAGCAGAGTTGTTAGTGGTAAAAATTACCACAGTAAGTAATTTAATGGTAAGTTACTATTGAGCATTAAACTTATTGGTAACTTGCCAGAAAATTTTATAAATTGCCGTAATTTTACAACCCTGCTTAACAGTCTAGTTGCATCAAATATTTATATTAAGGATGTTCTCAAACTTAATTGATGATTCATAGTGCGGAATGCAGGTATTAAATTTTAACCAATCAACACAACTCTATGATAAAAAAGATACTTTTTTTTTTCATTATGACGATTATTTGATTGGCTAAACTATTTTTCACTAATTAAAGATTGAGCTCCAACCAGGGAAGGTGATTTTATTTGTTTCACATGACACCACAGAATTCACATAAAGATGCTTATATCACATAATTTGCCACAAAATCGCACATAATTTGGCAAGTATGCCACAGAATTCTTACATAATTTGGCAAGTATGCCACAGAATTCTTACATAATTTGGCAAATATGGTTCACATAACATCACATAATTTGAGTTTTTTTACCATAATTTGAATTTTGTCATCGCATAAAATCACTGTCCCTGGCTCCAACCTATTAACTTAGGTGCTTGAAAACATCCTAAATTTAGAATTTAATCACGTGTTTAAGCAGCTTTTGATAAATTCTGTAAAGATTACGTAAAGCTTTTTATTAGGATATTTTATTTTTTAAAAAGCAATTTTAAAATTTTTAGCACTAATATAATTTATAATATATAATATTTAATTTTTTATATAAGTAGCATAATCAACAAAACTTTCAACACTACTGTAAATAGATATGATAGTGACCATTGAACTAGCAACCTGCAGATTGTCACTATATGGTTGTCTTTGCTAGAAGAAAGATCTTTCAAGACTATGTAGATTTAATTAGCAAAATTTATACCTTAATGAGCTCTATCAAACAAGGTTTATAGGAAATCTCGATACAAAAAAGATGACCAACTTTTTTATATCGAGGGAGTCACTTGTATTTGCATTTAATTAAAAAAAGAAATAATATTAACGTATATATTTTAATTTTATAGATTCTTAACTACCACAAGTGTTACAGAGCCGGTGCAGCAATAGTAGATTGTTTTGGCGTCACACAAGATCCTACTGGCTGTTATATGTTTGTAACGAAATTTTACGAATATGGAAATTTGCAAGAATTTCTTACCAAAACTATGGGCTGCTTATGTTGGAGAGATATAGTAGACATGCTTTGGGGAATGATTTCTGGAGGTCTTGAACGAATTCATGACAGTGGTTTTTATCATGGCAATTTACACTGTGGTAACTTGTTAATTGATGAACTCCCAGAATCAATTCATTTGAAAATTTCTGATGTTGGATTACATGGACCTGCAGATGGAACAGGTTCTGGTGTTTATGGTGTCTTACCTTATGTTGCTCCAGAAGTTTTAAGAGGTGAAAGATACACACAAGAATCGGACATTTATAGCTTTGGGATAATTATGTGGACATTATCTTCTTTTATACCTCCATTTTGTCAATATCCTCATGATTTTGACCTTGCAAAACGTATATGTAATGGCCTAAGACCAGACATTGTAGATGGTACCCCAGAAGCTTATGCCACATTAATGAAACAATGCTGGGATGAAAATCCTAATAATCGCCCAAAAGCTGTTGAATTAAATGATATTTTATGTCGTTGGGTAACAGACATAAATGATAATGTTGGTATGTAAATCTACTTTAATTTTTTGTGTAATAATAATAATGTAAAATGTAAACCTAATAAACCTAATTTCTTATATGTACATATAAAGAATCCACCTCAATTTCGGAACAATTTGATATTGCTGAAGAAAAAAGATTTTTGGATTTAATAAATAAGACATTCACTCAACCTACAATTCACAAGGGAGCGGTATACGTTAGCCGGTTATTAGATTTCCAATCTCTTCATGAAAATTCACAATGAATATGACATTAATTACTTTTTGGCAGAATATTATTTGGCAAATTCACGTAAAATTCATAATGTATTATAATATTGTAAATTATACTATCTGTAATTTATTATTCTGCTAGTGCCAGGCGCTGACACTAAATTTTAATAGTACCAGCACGGGCATAGATACTGTGTTTCATAGTACCCGCTTTGCACTTGCAGAATCCTAGTACACATAGACTAAAACGTTTAAATAGAAAAAAATTTTCGATTACCCATTCGTCATTCGTTCGTTCGTTCATTCGTTGTCTTCGTCTTTTCGTAACATTAACGATCTGAATGTGAACAAGCATATCGATATTGGTAAATAATATTAACAATCTGAATGTGATCGATATTATGAAAAGGGTAAATCTGAACATGATAAATAGACAAATAGATAAATATATAGAATGTATTATATGATAGAGAAAAATATGCATAAAACATGTAATTATATATATATGCATTTATAAGTTATGTTATAGAATAAAAAAAAGAAAAGCTAAGATTATACAGTACAAGGTAAATTTTTTGGTTCTCATGACGTAAAATTTATACGATGACCTGGCGACTCGACATTTAATTTTATTTAATTTTATTCTCAAAAAATTTTATAAAATGTTCTTTATAGACGTCTAAAAAAACTCACCCGGATAGTAAATATAGTCAAAATTTTGCAGAATTTGACCCGGTCGGATTATGAGAACCAACTTATTAAGGTCGTATGACCTAAGCATAAATGCATTTAATTTTTAATTCGCATACATTTAGCATTT